CAACGCACAGACAGTTTGATTGGGGAGATGTAGCTTATTGAGTTTGAGAAACAAGTGATGTGGATAGTGCGATTGGCCGCTTCAGACCTTATGAACATAAAAACGTGGAGACGAAATTTAAAATAGATTTTTGTTGTTGTTGTATATTTTAGCAGTCTCTATGTATTTCATAACTCGAGTCTTTAATCAATTATAATACGTAAAAAATAGATATTTCACTGGATGACTGAGATACGTGAAGTCGTCGTGGCCTAGAGGATTAGACGTGCGGTGCATTCGTATCTACCGATGCAATTCGTGGTGTTTGAATCCCGCTGGCAAGTAACAATTTTTCTAATGAAATACGTACTTAACAAATGTTCTCGATTAACTTCCACGGTGAAGGAATAACATATATACTAATATTATAAAGCTGAAGAGTTTGTTTGTTTGAGCGCGCTAATCTCAGGAACTACTGGGCCGATTTGAAAAATTATTTCAATGTTAGATAGCCCATTTATCGAGGAAGGCTATAGGCTATATAACATCACGCTAAGACCAATACAAGCGAAGCACCACTAAATAATGTTTCAAAATCGGGGTTTTTTTCCCTTTTGAGAGCTTTCGAGCGTGCGCTGCAGAAACGATTACAGTTTCGCTGAAATAATATATTACAGAATTGTTCCCTTTTAAAAGATCAAAAAAAAGTCCGCGACAACATATGTCTATATCTTAAGGTTGGCTCACTATAATGTTTTTTATGCTAACCAAATTTGTTCTAAAATAAAGCATTATTGGTGAACTATTCCACGCGGATGAAGTCGCGGGCAAAAGCTGGTCGTGTAATAAAAATCAAACTCGCAAAAATTATAATTTTAAAAATAATAATTATCACTATTTTCGGTTGTTCCTATTCAAAATCGCAATAAAAACATGAACTCAAAAATAGTTTTTTCCCCCTTAGGTTTCTGGACGAGCTCATGCCCTGGTGTTAAGTGATTACCGGAGCCCATAGACATCTACAACGTAAATGCCGCCACCCACCTTGAGAATGAGTTCTAAGGTCTCAGTATAGTTACACAACAGCACACAACAGCTGCCCCCCCCCTCCAAATAGGCAGGGTGGTACCTACCCGTGCGGACTCACAAGAGGCGGGTTTGATTTTTATTACACGATGTTATTCCTTCACCGTGGAAGTCAATCGTAAGCATTTATTGAGTACGTATTTCATCATATTTATATTTTCCCTGAAATCAAGATTATAAAATTACTCCATAGATATATATTACTGTTTCTCACTTCATTACAGTAGAAACAAATAAATAAAATATTGTGGGAAAGACTTTGCTCATCGCATGCTTTGCTGCAACATGCTTCTCTGAAGTGGAAATTGAACCCATGACCAACGACGCAGGGTCGGTGCAGGTCTAAAAATTACAGCAACGCTGAAAGTAAAAATCATGAAATATAATTGTCTTATAAAACAATGCCTGAGTTTAAATGTTTCTTAGTATTTACCGACATTGAAAGCTTTTCTTCAGACGAAGGCTTCGAACAGTAGATTGCTTTGTGTTATCCTCAAGGCGTTTCGAGCTTTTAAGAATAAGCTTAAAGTTTTTCGTGGAATAAATTCTTGTTTACTATAAATTCAACTCGGGACCGATGTTACGTAGGTAAATCAAAGCCAATAAGCACTAAAGCTGGTGATTGTGAGTAGTTATGAAGATAAAATTCGCCTGCTGGTAATGACAAAAGAAAAATCTTCCACAGAGCTGGTGAAATAGTTCGGTAGACCGGCGGCCTGAATATTGTATTTTGGAACTTGTATATTATATTATACTAATTTATCATGAAATTGTCGTTAGCAACATTCAAGCATGTTTTTTTTATTGCTTAGATGAGTGGACGAGCTCACAGCCCACCTGGTATTAAGTGGTTACTGGAGCCCATAGACATCTACAACGTAAATGCGCCACCCACCTTGAGATATAAGTTCTAAGGTCTCAGTAAAGTTACAACGGCTGCCCCATCCTTCAAACCGAAACGCATTACTGCTTCACGGCAGAAATAGGCGGGGCGGTGGTACCTACCCCTGCGGACTCACAAGAGGTCTTACCACCAGTAAATGCCACATGTGTCAAATATGCTGTGTTTTATAATGGCTACCCGCTTTTTTTTGTGAATGGGGTATTACTGGTGTCCCAGAGGTCTTTCCAGTTTCACCAGGACAGGTGGTTTTAATAAAAAAGGAAACATTATTTTTGTAAAAATATATGATTCGAAAAATAAATACCAAAATACGCGTTGCATAATCTTAATATTCGCATGCTATCCGTTTTTGTAAAGCATTTGTTCATCGATCGAAATTCGACCATAACCACTGTCACCGAAAGGCTTAGATTCGTTTTATGCTTAAATATTATTTGGTTTCATGAAATACAAAATAAAAACCGAATACTAAGTAAAAACAAAAGAAAATCCTTCGAAAAATTGACGAGAAAATGGATCTTAAATGATGTAAGTATCACAACGAAGAACCAAATGACTATGAATTTTAAGTTCAAATTTAAACCACAACTCCACTGTAACTTTTATTAATATCGTATTCCACAACGTTACTGCTCGGCTGTAACCTCAAGCTTAACAATGGCTTTACAAAAACACATTAAATACATTCCGCGACCTAATTGCGATTTTTATTCATGTTCAAAAACCGTGACGCTAAATTGCCAATGTCAAAATGTATTAGTGGTACAGTTCACAATTCAGAGTCAAGGTAAAAGCACCCTTATTTGACCAACGGTAAGGTAACACAGCTACACAAGTTCAAGTTTTACGTGCGCACGTAAACTGGTAAGATTTTTAATTGAACGTCACAAAGAGATTATCTTTACTTGGAATTTAGGATTTCATGTATCCCGGCAACTTTTATTGTTCGTATGAATATTTTGTTTATTGCATCCACTTTCGAATTGTATAATTGAAGATCATTTGAAAAGGATCTTAATTTCTTACTGGTGGTAGGTCTTCTTGAGAGTCTGCACGGATAGGTACCACCTACCTATTTCTGCCGTGAAGCAGTAATGCGTTTCGGTTTGAAGGGTAGGGTAGTCGTTTTAACTATACTGAGACCTTAGAACTTATATCTCAGGTGGGTGGCGTATTTACGTTGTAGATGTCTATGGGCTCCAGTAACCTCTTAACACCAGGCTAAGAGCTCGTCCACCCATCTAAGCAATAAAAAAAAAACGGATTAATCAGAGAAAAGTGGTACCTCAACGCTTATCTGATACTGTTTGGTCGACGACCGTGAATATGAATCTAATTTTTAACGTAGCCTTCCTACTAATCCCATATGCAAAAGCGTATTCGCAAAAAACATTGAAGCCAAAACCTAAAACTGTCACACGAATAAAAATAGTCCAAATGTATATATCTATTGCCTTCTTCCACGCCAATTCTTTAACAATCCAATAGTTAAGAAACCCGCCAATGACATAGGCTTTTCTCCAAAAAACAAAAAAACCAGGACATAATTTGCAGTCGCATGTTAAAATTAATAAAATTACACACGAGTTTGATCACAAAACCGCGATTAAGCATGTGCTTACTGTGTAAAGTAATTATAATTTTGAAATATTAAATCACATATCCGAGATTTGCATATTTAATTCATTTTAAACAAGAAGATGTAAGGCTAGATAATGCTTGACGACCGTAACATTAATATTGTAGAAGTTTATTTCTGTTTCTTTAACGAATAAACAGGTCAAAGAACTTAGTGGACGAGAAACAACGTTTTTTAATAATAAAATTAGGTGTACTATTTTATACTTTATCTATAGTTTCATATTTTATCGAATAATTTAGAATCTTTATGGTAAGGACTTTTTGGCGGGAACGCGAGGAGTGAAGTTGTTTGATTTGTTTTATTTTGTCTATTTAGTGTCTCTTCTGTTTGTCGTGATTCTGTTTAGTATCTGTGATTTTGTCTATTTAGTGTTTCTTCTGTCTGTCGCGGTTCTGTTTAGTATCTGTGAAAGTACATGAATGTGGGAAAATAAAACAAAGCCGCTGGATGTAACTTCTCGGGATCTCGGGATCAGTAGCGGATATACACGTACGAGAAAAATTAAATACAGATGCTGATTAGCAAATATCTTTAAAAATACTATAAATATCGACGATACTGATACTGATACTGAAGATACTGACTTTAACCAGGAATAAAACTTAAGAGCCCATGGTGCTGTGGCTATTTGTTTTATTACATAGCTGGGTGCATGAGCTCACGGTATATCTGGTATGTTGTCGTTACCGCTAAGATAACGTGAATGCGACCACTTACCCAAATCACAGTAAATTGGGTTTAAAAAAAATTGTGGTTTTGGGAATTGTAGCCTCATTGTGTAATTGTATCAAATTATTCTTTTTCAAGTAATCGCATATCGTAAAAATGTACACGTTAAATTACTAAAGATGATATCACCATACCTTTAATTGTTTCAACACATTTGACCCTGTAAGTTGTAGGTGTGAAGCTAAAAGAGAAAGCTCCAGGAATGACTCATTTCTTTGTGCAAAATTTAGAGTAAGATATTTTCAAGGCAACAAATAAATAATTAAAACTAACGCGTTTTATGTTGTTTGAAAAGAACATTTTAATTTTTAAGGACATGCAAAAGAACTGGTTTTATTAGGAAGATTAACATTTTTTAATGAGGTAGTTAGTGTATGGGATACTAGAGGCAGCTATACGTACATATGTATGCTAATAAAAATGCACCAGGTGACCTTCTGAATATTAAAAGTATGAACAAAGCCTGCGAATGGTAACAAAACGTGTACATACACTATTGTCTAAGGTTATATGAACATTGAAATAACAGGTAATAAGACTGTATACTCTTCCCAAGGGATATTAATTTGGACATGTATATATATTTAGATTATACTATAATAAGTTTTTTTTAATTGACAACAATGAAATAGGTAATGTTCTGTTGTAGTTCTAGTAGTTTTAATAGTAATCTTTACAACACGGCTTCTTGCAAGGCTTGTAACTTCCTTCGGAACACAGAAAAGCTCTGACTTTCTTCGCTAAAGGACAATCCAATCTTCCACATGGTCCATGAACATCTCGCTTATTGACAAATTGTCCATGTGTATATTTGCCCTTTAAAGTTTCTCCAGGGATGAACTGGTGCTGACTACCTCTAAAATCCATCCGTTTTGGACAATTGGTTCCACCGCAAGGTCCTTTAGGAAATCCCATAGCTAATATAGCCAATTCGCTTGCAGTGAATGGAGCTACGAAATCTTCATATATTTTTGGTTCTTCTACCGGTCTTATTGGTTCTCTTGTTATGTCAGGAGCTCCGAAAAAGTATGCAACAGGTGGCACAGCATCTATTGTAGTTCCTGCCCAATGACGGACAACTTCTAGATCTTTTAGTTTCAAATCATCGTTCAAATATTTTCGACCAGGCAGTCGTTCCATTTCTGGCAAAGATACGAAATAACTGACCACTCTATTGCCAAGGCATGTTAGCCTTATGTAAAATTCGATTTCACCTGACGCTTTCAAATCTTCTTCGCATTGCAGAGGTTTTTTCATTTCAACCGTATTAGTGACCATCAACTGTTTTGTCGTGTCACGGTACTCGGCTTGGTCCATGTTCACAGGATTCAGTTCACCAGCTTTTTGAAGAGCTTCAAAATAGGATTCATGCCATTCAACTACGCAAAAACCAACGCAGTTCATTTCCTGATCCCTGTTCCAAACAGTGATGTAAATTGGAGTTTTTCTTAACACTTCTTCTAATTTAGAAGGTCTCGAAAGGAACATGACTGAGTTTCCTACTCCGAAAAATGGAGGTTGAGGTAATGGTTCAGAAGGTAGGACAATCTTTTTTGGAACAACTTTACCCTTACCCTTTTTCGGCTTTTTTGGCTTCGGTGGTTTTTTACCTTTTTTGGGAGGAGGGCCTGGAGGTTCTGGTGCTATAAAATTATCGTGAGCAACGTAAAAGTCAAACACTGGTAGACAGTTCATTTGTAATGTACAGGTTTGCATAAACTTCATTTCTTCTTCTGAAGGCATGGGTGGTTCCTTACCTTTTTTGCCTTTCTTTCCTTTTTTACCTTTCTTACCAGCTGTCTTGCCACCCTTTTTGCCTTTTTTAGCGGCCTCTACAGCTGCTAAGGCTTCTGCTTCTTTTCTACGTTGCTCTTCCTCCATTTTTAGTTCATATTCATCTTTTTCAGGTGGTTCAACTTTTAATATAATTTTTTTCACATACACTTCAATCATAAAAATTTGTTCCATGTTGACTATGATAAATAAGGTCAATTTATGTTTGAGTCACCATTCATATATTTTTATAAATATTTGCAAATAATTTTCTTGTCTTTAAGCTGAATAAACTTATTAATTAGCAGTCCCTGAATTTTGGTTTTGAAATTTTTTTTAAGAAAATATATTGATAAATATTTTTCTGATTCGCATTCTAATATGTTTCATGTGTTTTTATGTTTTTTAGGTATGTGTACTGTTGATACATTGTTTACAAAAATCTTGCCGGCTACATCATTTGTTGACATACTTTACTTTTGACATATGTGACGTTAGCGCATCTGAGGCTATGTAAAGTTTTTATTTGAATCTCTTGTAATTTATGGAACCGATGACAAATCATAGACCAACGTAATAATCTTCATTCGAAGCTATTGTATCATGCTGTACTAAGCTTGCAAGCTATGAACTCTTGCGAGTATCTGATTCTATTACGTAATTGTTTCACAGGACAACTGCAAAGTAAAGCCTACCGTAATGTATCTTCACAACTTGCAGTTTTAAAAAAAAACGTTTTTTCTAAAGCCATATTTCGATCGTGCTTTAAGTGGTCCATATTAAAAGCTCACATAATATGTACTTATGTAGTTGTTCAAGTTCGCAAATTGCATCAACTCAACACCGAAGTGCTTAATATGATTCATGTACCAAAAGTAACAAAGCTATTTTGTAAAGAGCATAGATACGCTTCGACATTAATGAGAATTTATTTAATTCTTGTTTCGCCAATACAAATATAACTTGAACACTTCACTCCCACGAATATCAAAACAGCGCGAATTTATTAACAACACACACGAAACCGCGTTTATATTAAATCGGTACACAATTTCGTCCCTAAAAATAAACGCTAATGATTCCAAAACAGAATAATTACACGCTGACCGAGATGAAATGTAAAACAAAACTCTGCGCAGTTAGAGTTCATTCGGCGGGGTCACGTTTACGCACCGGAGTGTAGTGAGAGGCGGGAAGGAGAGGGGGGTTGGGAGACGCGGGACGAGTTCGAGATCAGCGAGCGATTAGAGACTGGATGGGACTATTACTTCATTTATAACTAAACATTACAATTTAATATTAGACTAGTGCTCTCTAGGATTATTAAAAACTAGCTTTTGCCGGCGACTTCGTCCGCGTGGAATAGTTCACAAGTAAAGCTTTATTTTAGAACAAATTTGGTTAGCATAAAAAACGTTATAGTGAGCCAACCTTAACATATGGACATATACTGTCGCCGACTTTTTTTTAGATCTTTTAAAGGGGAACAATTCTGTCATACATTATTTTAGCGAAACTTTTACCGTTTCTGCAGTGCACGTAGCGGAAGCTCTCAAAAGGGAAAAACCCCGATTTTGAAACATTATTTATCAGTGCTCCGCTTGTATTAGTCTTAGCGTGATGTTATATAGCCTATATAGCCTTCCTCGATAAATAGGCTATCTAAGACTGAAAGAATTTTTTAAATCGGACCAGTAGTTCCTGAGATTAGCGCGTTCAAACAAACAAACTCTTCAGCTTTATAATATTAAGTATAGATTATGTCGATGGATAGTAGTGAAATAAATTCGGCTTTACTTTATCAGAAATCTGAGCTTTGTATTCTTTTACAGTGAATGAAAACAAAAACTCCCATCTAGATTCTAGAAGAGCCGATCACATTAGCCGTCTCGCTCGCACCTACATTTAAAATTAGCACCGGCTATAATATGACGATTCGCGATACAAACCCATATTATGCGGGTCGTGCATTATTCAAATCAAATCGTAAGTTCTGTGGGAGTAGTTTTATTAGATAATCGGATGGAAAATATCACGTGGCGACACAGCTCGAGCTTAGTTCGGTAAATTTCATTGTTATTCATTATTAGAGTTTATAGTTAGTATGTTTTGAAAATTAAAAAATACAACTTTGTATTTTACATCCATCTACAGCTTTGTGTTGTATTTGAATAGTTTATTTATCCTTATACACAGTGAGTACAGGAGGCATTCTGAAGCATTCTTTACCACTCAATTAAAGGTAGTGTATAGAGAGCTATGGTAGTTTGTTTATGGAAAATATGAAAATAATATTATCTATATATTAATACGTGAAGCAAAAACTTTGTATCCCTTTTTACGAAAATTGCGCGAACGGAGGAGTATGAAAATTTCCACACTTATCGAGAATATAGAGAAGAAGTGCACAATACAAATAATGTTGTTTTAAAATAATGCATAAAAGATACATTAAATCAATAAAGAAAATATTACACACACTACATACCATGTATTTGACGCACACACGCATGCATACTATTTATTGTCAAACTTTTGTTCTTGACGTCTGTTGTCAAATTGAGAATAGATTAAATATTGTTTGTCTTTGTTAATATTTTTTATAGTGTAGTCTTGGCGAAATTTGTGATTGTNAAATAATGCATAAAAGATACATTAAATCAATAAAGAAAATATTACACACACTACATACCATGTATTTGACGCACACACGCATGCATACTATTTATTGTCAAACTTTTGTTCTTGACGTCTGTTGTCAAATTGAGAATAGATTAAATATTGTTTGTCTTTGTTAATATTTTTTATAGTGTAGTCTTGGCGAAATTTGTGATTGTAGAAGTATAAAATACAATCATAATAGTGTACAAACTTACAATTCCAATTAATTATAGTCGAACTTCGACTACTGCGGGACCTCTAGTTATTATTAAAACACACAAAACATACATGTCATACAACGCCTTACATATTATTGTTATATCATTAAATATACTGCACATTTAAAAAAATATGTTTAAGTAATTAGTGTTTTCAGGTCGGGTATAGTCAGCCAATGGTGGCTAAATACAATGTAATTTGATATAGCAAGAATTACTTTTTATTTATAGTTTCGAAAGTCGCACTGGTTAAAGAAACACTAAAGTTTTCTTAAATTGAACCTTCAAATAAGATTATATATATTTTTTTTATTTTTTTATTTTTTATTAGGATTGATCTTAGAAAATCCGCTTAATATGTTTTTCGCGTACTTAGAAAAGTATAGTGAAGTTAAAGTTAGCTTGTCAAAAAACTAAGTTTGGCTAAAAGGTCGAGTAACACATGTCCGTTAGCGAATCATAATGAAAAAAAAAAACGCAGTGGCAATGGCAGTTGTAGATCTAGGTGGCCCTCATTCAAAAAGTTTGAATCTAAAACATGAAATTACTAGAAATAAAACCTTTTTACACTTCCTACTATCGCCTCTAATCTGAATTGCTTTGTTGGTGACGACCGGACCACTGGGTGCGGGTTGATAGTATCTATCTGAATTAGAACCTTTGGCAAAGATATTATGTATATCTAGTTTATTTGTGTTCCCATAACCAACTTAAATGCGAGAAAATCACGCCTTAAGCCCGTTGACAGTAGCATTAAGCTTGTATATTTTTAACCTTCCTTATACTTCGTTTTATATATCCATATAATTTATACATGACTCCAGTCTAATAAAAAAGGGCGTACAAAATATTCCGTTTCGCTCGGGCGCTGCGGGGGGGAGGAGAGGGGAAACCGGTAGCCACTGCGCATCGTGCAGCTGCGCTCGAGTCCATAAAGGCAAGTTTACAATATAATGTATATTTTATTTTTTTTGCTTAGATGGGTGGACGAGCTCACAGCCCATCTGGTGTTATGTGGTTACTGGAGCCCATAGACATCTATGACGTAATGCGTCACGCACCTTGAGATATCAGTTCTAAGCTCTTAGTACAGTTACGACGGCTGCCTCGCCCTTCAAACCGAAAAGCATTACTGCTTCACGGGAGAAATAGGCAGGGTGGTCGTACCTACCCGCACGGACTCACAAGGGGTCCTACCACCAGTAATTACGCAAATTATAATTTTGCGGGTTTGATTTTTATTACACGATGTTATTCCTTCACCGTCAAAGTCAATCGTGAACATTTGAACAATTCGTGACTTGTTGTTATCAAAGTAATTTCTTGCGTATAGTGAAACTATGTCCCGTATCGATTAAGCTTCGGACGCGTCTATGGATTTCATCAACTTTACACCATAAAGGACGTGTCGTCATCATCGTTATGACCCCTTATCCAATCTCAATAATACTGTAATGTTGCTGTCTCGCAAGTATGAACTTGGTTCCAGTTCTTTATATGTATATTCACGAAGTAAGAAGGAGTTGGACATAACGAAAGTAATTGAGAAGGTACTATTATTACGATGAGTAAAATACTGTAATAAAAAAAGATGTAGTCGTTAAAAGCGGACTGATGTACTGATGTATAGGAGGCCAGATTATTTTAGGATCTATATTAAACTTTTGGTCTAGACTTGCAGAAGATAGATCCACCTAAATAGTTTGAAGGAGGCTTTTAATGCTATAGGCGACTCCTAAATCTATCAAGACTGATGTAAGCCGAGTTAATATAATTCTTCCCTTCTAGAGATGACGGAACATCGTAAGATGCATCTAATCTGCTTTCTGTAATACTGATACACAGTGATACAACCAATTTGTTAAGAGCGAAGTCACTTAGAAGAAGAAGGCTTCGTTAACACCGACTTAAACAGACAAAAAAATCTCATAACATAAAAGTTTCAAGAAGGTGGTTAAATTCTCAGTATTTAAATCGAATTTCCAGTGTAATGATTGATTCAAATTCTTTGAATTGTAATTTTCTATGTAAATATGAATCAGCTTAACCTTTATGACACATGCATTTTGTACTGAATGTTTAATGAGAACATGTCTGGTATTTAAGTTGGTAGTGCAACGAATATTCGTGTATAAAGGGTGTCCCAGAAAGAATGGATAATCCTGAAATACATCATAGTAGAGGGGACCCAAATGGGTACTCAAAATTAAAAAAAAAACTTTTCTTAGGTAGTCTCCAAATTAAAAACAAAGAAAAAATACCAAATTTCATTATTAAAATTTAAGTTCGGATTATTTTTTATAAAAAAATTACACT